CTGCTGCTGCTGCTGTGCAACCACCATCACTACCAAGTGGATTCAATTCCATTCTAGCGACAGTGTGAGTGTAAGCAGTGTCACTCGTACTGTGCAATTCGGCCACCACCACCACCACCACCACCACCACCACCATTACCAGAACACTATTTTCGCCCGCACACCGCAGCCTATTAGCAGTGCAGCAAGCATTGCCATTACCAGCACATTACCATCACCATTACAGGCGCCCATTTGCTCGTGTTACACCTTTACAGCACCCGGCTCTAACTATTTCCCGCTGCTATCTTCTTTTCGGCGACATATATCTCTCTCTCCTTCTCTTTCTCTAAATTGAAATTAACTTTGTACCGAGTGCACACACAAACACGGACCGGCAAACAGACAGGCAGGCATTTACAGACATTTACATACGACAAAAGCATCAGCACTTTAAAGCTCACACCATTACCATCTTCGCACCAATTGCACAGGATGCGGCCTCGGCACATCACCGAGCGCTGAAGACTGCTGAAAACTAAACTAAACTAACTGCCTGGCGGGCGCACCGATTGCGAGAGATTGCTTTTATCTCCCTCTGTCTCCTCTCTCTCTCACTTGTGAGCACGCGAAGACTACTTTTCGTGTGCTCGGTGTGACACTCTTCATCACTGCTGTGCACACTGTGCAGAAGATGGATCTCAAAGTAAGTCAAACAAATACATACATACACACTCACACACAAGTTGCCACTTGTCTGAATGTGTCTTCTTTTCCTTTCTGTGTCGGTGCATGTGTGTGTGCTATACTAAACAAGAGCCTCCACCGTTGGCGGCACAAATCTCTTTGTATCATCATTACCAAGCCCAAGTGTGCCATTGTTTCTTATTTCATCGTTTTCTGCTTTTCCCCTCTTTCCCTCTTGCACAGTTCTCTATTAAAAACATCATGAGTGACAAAGTGGGCTCCAATGATAGCTCGGCGGCGGCGGCGGCTGCAGCGACTGCAATGGCATCAGGCAAACCGAAGCTACTTCGAGACGTCCTCCTGCACCACCAGAACGCCGCCACCCAGGTGATGCACGACAAGTCAATCATCGAGGCGTTGAAGCCCAATCTGCTGGGGCTGATTGCCGCCAATCAGGCGGCGACGAACAATGCGGCGGCTGCAGCGGCAGCCATGGGCGGCATGGGCGCCAACAGCAATGGTGAGGTGCATCCGTACGCGGCCTACCTGGCCGCAGCGGCGGCCGCCTCTGCCGCCGCCGGTCAGAACGGTCCACTACAGCCAAACGGCAGTGGAACACTGAACAGCAGTCAGCAGCAACAGCAACAACAACAACAACAGCAGCAGCTGGCGACGACGGCCGCCTTGGACATCTTCGCCTACTGTCAGTACATCTCCAGTATGATGCTCTTCAAGGCGATGGCCAACGGGGAGGCGGTCGGAGGCTCCCCAAACGGCAATGGCCTGCACGGCTGCAGCAGCGGCAGCACTGGTGCCGGCAGCGACAAGACGCCCTCTGCGCCGACGTCGCCGGGGCTGACGCTGAGCGACCTTCCTCAGGACTACTCCATGAAGGGAGATCGGGCTGGTGCAAAGAAGCGAGAGCTGAGCGAGACGCGCGCTGGCTCGGTCTTTGAGGGCACCATTTCACCTCCTCTACTGCCCCTTTCGAGAGTCTCCACTGAGGGAGCGACCAGTGGAGGACATCACCCGAAGAAGGCCCATACCAGCAATGGCAGCAGTGAGTCAACCAAGAGCAACAGTCACAAGAGTGACAGCAGTGGTGGCGGCGGCAGCGGCGGTTCCAGTGGTCGAAAGTTTGTCTCTAGTGAGCGAAGGCCACGACAGGCTTACAACACCAAACAACTGGAACGACTCGAGTCGGAGTTCCAAGTAAGCTGCACTCAGAAAGGTGTCCNACCAGCAATGGCAGCAGTGAGTCAACCAAGAGCAACAGTCACAAGAGTGACAGCAGTGGTGGCGGCGGCAGCGGCGGTTCCAGTGGTCGAAAGTTTGTCTCTAGTGAGCGAAGGCCACGACAGGCTTACAACACCAAACAACTGGAACGACTCGAGTCGGAGTTCCAAGTAAGCTGCACTCAGAAAGGTGTCCCTTTCAACCATTTCTAATCATGATCCACCTCTTTTTTCCAGAATGATAAATACCTGACAGTCAGCAAACGAATCGAGCTTTCCTGTGCACTTAACCTCTCTGAGGTTCAAATCAAAACATGGTTTCAAAATAGAAGGTGAGGGCACTTCACTCTGACTATTCACTTGCCAACTCACTTTCCCTCCTTTATTTCAGAACTAAGTGGAAGAAGCAACTAATCGAGTGGAGACGAAACTCGACCGATTNACTTAACCTCTCTGAGGTTCAAATCAAAACATGGTTTCAAAATAGAAGGTGAGGGCACTTCACTCTGACTATTCACTTGCCAACTCACTTTCCCTCCTTTATTTCAGAACTAAGTGGAAGAAGCAACTAATCGAGTGGAGACGAAACTCGACCGATTCACGGAAGAACAGCACCACTGGCGCCGGTGGCAGTCAGATGGACACCAGCTCTGCCATCAGCGTGACCAGTGATGAGTCGGACGCCACTTGCGGCACTCCCAACGCTGCTCTCACTGCTGCTGCTGCAGTTGCTGGTGGCGGCGTCGTCAACGGCCGGACAAAATCAGCCAGCAACACCTTTGAGGACGGCCACTTTGGGCATTCTGCAGGACTGGGCGAGACTGCCAACTCTGACAATGTCTCCGACATTGACATATCCGAGGAGCACAGAGGCAGTGAGGTTGAAGGCGAGGCTGAGGGCGAGGCTGAGGACGATGCGGATAGCTCCGGTGGCGAGGAGTGAAGAGAGAGACAGTGTACCTAAACTTTACCTCCTGCTAGTGTCCCCTTGTAGTCGACAACGGAAACACACCCACCCACCCAGCCATACCAACATGAGCACCGTTCTCTTTCCCTGTACATTGAACCTCCATTCATTCATTCATTCACCTTCACTCGTCCCCTGTACATTGCACTACCATCCCATCCTACTGACACACATTTTTCCCCGTTCTCTGACCATTTGTACAGAACTCATTACCTACGCCAGTCATCCATCTACCTGTCAATTCGTGATTCCTTTCCTGATAATCTCCACCACCCTCCCCTTCTCTTTCCTCTTCAGTCCTTCAGCTGACGCTGAGTCTGTGCAGTATTGTGTGTGCGTACGTGTGGTCTCTGAAGCTGAACTTCTCCTGAGAAGCGACCAACTGATCACTCTCCCTTATTTCTTTCTTTCTCTCTTTCTTTCTTTTCATCATTTTCCCCCTAGTCACTCACTGTCTGGTTTACCTGATGAGCAATTCTCTTGCTTTACTTCTCTTTTCGTTGTTCTACTATTCTCATCATCACTACTGCAAAAAGAAATCAAAACCATTTCATTAACAGTCATTCTAATGGAATAAAGTACTATCATTATTAATACCAATCTTTCTAAATGATCATCAGTTTAGTAGACTTTAGGTGTTTAATTTTACAAAAGCAGAGATTTTGCTGACGATTTCNGTCTGGTTTACCTGATGAGCAATTCTCTTGCTTTACTTCTCTTTTCGTTGTTCTACTATTCTCATCATCACTACTGCAAAGAGAAATCAAAACCATTTAATTAACAGTCATTCTAATGGAATAAAGCACTATCATTATTACTACCAATCTTTCTAAATGATCATCAGTTTAGTTGACTTTAGGTGTTTGATTTTACAAAAGCAGAGATTTTGCTGACGGTTTTAAAGTGAAAGTAGTGTCTCTGGGCGCCAGAAGAAGGCGCCACCAAACATTAGAAATTTTAAAAAATGCATTGTTTTGCCTGTGACCGAGTGAGTCAACCGTTCCCGCATCACCTTTCCACTGAATTTACTCGCCAACTCAACCGTTTTCAACCGCTCTCTCCCGGTGATCATCTTTCATTCCATCTCGCACTCTTTACTACCCCAAACAGGCAGCTTTTAACTCCATCTGTTTACAATGGTTAGTGTATACCCTCGAATTCTGATGATGTGTCAACTAACAAACTGACTTTTCCACAACAACAACACAGGCGAATTTTAACGAAGATCAAATTACAGGTACTTACTCAGCATATTTCCCATTGTTCGTGTTTGCATCATAGCGGAATCTTTCTCTTTTGCAGAGTTTCAGGAGGCGTTCTTCTTATTTGACAACCGTGGAGATGGAAAGATAAATGTGTCGCAGTTAGGCGACGTCTTGAGAGCACTTGGTCAAAATCCAACTGAAGGCGAGGTGAAAAAGTGCTCCAGCCAGCTGAAGCCAGGTTTGTTTACTTGGTAGTTTTTGCTGTTTCTCAAGTTTAATGGCTTCTCTTTCTGTGTAGATGAACGAATTGGCTTTGAGGTGTTTCTGCCTATCCTGCAGACCATTTCCAAGTCAAAGTCTACCGACACTGCTGAAGACTTCATCGAAGGTTTGCGTCACTTTGACAAGGACGGTAGCGGATACATCTCGTCTGCTGAACTTCGACACTTGCTAACTACGCTTGGAGAGAAGCTTACTGACGATGAGACTGAGCAGCTTCTTGCCGGACAAGAGGACACACATGGAAATGTGCACTATGAGGACTTTGTTCGCCTCATCATGTCTGGTTAAGCAACAGACTGAACAATGCAATTTACACCGAAAACCATTTTTACCACTATTTGTATCATCTAAAGGATGCAGCAACCGTCTGTATTATTGATAATTTTACTCAACTGAAACGCTGGTGTTTTTATGTAACCGTTTTAACAAAGGTACGTCCAAAAAGATGATTTTATCTGTCAACACACTGAAAAATTAAATTATTCGGATATATGGTGAGCATCATATTCCCACGTTAAAAAACCTGGTTGATTCTTCTAAAGTTCCTCCATAGATGGCAAATAATTCTTGGAATCACTTTTCCAAAAAGTTAATTTGTAACTCTAACGTTTCGCATACAGCGCTTCCACTGCATGTTAATGAACACATCGATCTACCCAACACAACTCTACTCAGCAAGGGACAATTAATTGGCACTCAAGCGTAAATTAATTCAAAATGTCGCAAGTTGACTTGTTTGTACTTTGCGGTGTGTGTGTGTTCAATGTAGAAAATTCACCCTCCCTACCATTACCGGGAAAAAGGCACACCAAAAGAGTGAGGAGAGAAAAAGTGACAAAAAACGGAAGAATAAATGAATTGAATTCCAGTGAAATGTAATAATTTGTGCTCACTAATTGACTGTGGGTCGATTTTGTTTGGCAATTGCCTTTCTTTGGGAGTGACTATCACTTTTTGTTTTGTCCTCAAAGTCTGGTCAACTGCTGTAACATGGGAGCCAATTCAAAGTTGAACTTAAATTCATTAGATCCAAATGGATCACCATTATTCTGGTAATGAGTGTGCAATCAGTGGCAAACAATGATGCCCGCTGCCTGATTGCATTGGCCCTGGGTAATGTTTTCGATCAATAGGTCATCATCATGTGCAGGAGAGGGAGAGAGAGAGAGAGAGAGAGATGACCTAACCTTCCAGGAATCACAATAAAGGCACTTGATATTGCACCGTCGATGGCATCAGCAACAGAACCAGCAGCAGTTGTGACTCTTCTGGGTGCTCTTTCTCTTTCTTTCCTACTGTCAGAGTGTGTGTTATGTAAACAGCGATCGATTAATCTGTGACCGCGGCATCAGCTAATCCAAGGCAGTCTCAATTGGTGCGACCAAGCGGAACCTGTCGGCAGCATCCGTCGTCGTCGTCGAGGGTGAACGGGTCTGTCTGCTGGCACACACTGAACACACTGCACAAGGCGCGTCGGACCGCGGTAATCGAGCAAGGTGCGAGGAGGCACTGCTCATCATCCTCGGGACTACCAGGCCATTGACGACTGCTCTTTCTCTGTTCTCTTTCTGGCAGATCAATCATCGTCACTGTGGTACTACTATTGATGCTTCGGTTCAGTAGCAGTACCAGTGACAGTATTGGCTGCTGCTGCTGTTGCTGCTGCTCACCATTGCCGACACAATACCCAAAGACCACTTTGTGTTTGTCTCTGTGTGTTTGTGTTTGTGTTTGTGTGCTATGTTTGCTTGCCCGAATCGATTAGAGCAGCAGTAGCAGCCGATCTGGCTGAATGTGGCTCTCGGTTCTTCGTCTTCCACTTCTGTTTTGTTCCGAACAATCGAAGCAAATCGAAGTGAACACCGCTGCGGCGATCGAGGCGAACGAGGCGAACTGCTAACTATATACACAGCCAGTCAGTGAATAGGTCGAAGCAAAGCTGAGCCTCCTTCCATTCACACACATACACACTCGATACATCACCGCGCCACACTTGGAGGAGGTTGATTTGGCGGGCAGTCCAGCACCAGCACTAGCACCAGCACCAGTTCCATTGCACCACCATTAGTGGTAATGATCGTCGGCGTCGGCCACCGTCGACTGCAGCGGAACAGTGTGTCCTTTCGGCAAAAACAGTTTGGCATAAAGCAAACGGCGAACCGAGGAGAAAAATTCTTTTTGATCGAGCAGAAAACGGAGAGGAGGCGAGGATTCAGATGCGGCGGCAGAACCAGGCGAGTGTAACAAATTGGCCGGTCATTAGCGGCGATTTCACAAGCGCCACACGCCAGCACACTGCAGTGGTGCACTTCCTTCGGTGGTTCTTCATTGCCTTCGGTGCCACCCACCTACAGCACACAGGCACAGAGTGGAGAAATTGACTGCCATTTGCATGTTTCTGTTTTTGTCTGTCTTTCTTTGGTCTTCCGACCGGCACCTTTTTTGCAAAAAAAAACTTTTTTTCAATAGCCAGAATGCAGCGTTCTTATCCTCTGGACTACTATTGACTGCGGAATACTCCAGTCTCCATCTTGCAGAATCCAGACTGCCCACTAACTGTCTGTTTCTGCAACTTTGTACCCAAATAAAATTGCCCAGTGAAGCAGCGTCAGCTAATTGAATAATAAGTGGCTAATCTGTGGATCAGTGGCACTGGTGAACTTGAAAGCGCATCGTTTTGTGAGTGAGTGCATTCACTTACTCACTCACTTACTGCGCTCAATTGGTACCACTTTGTAGTGGGCTACCATATCACCACCACCATATCACCACCATCACCACCAATTATTCCACTACCACCACGACGAACCACTGCAAACTTCCCCATGAGGACGACCACCTCCGCTTGGATCCCCTCCTCTCTCGCATTCTGCCGGTCTTGCCACACCGCCCTATATAGCACCGTTTTCCGCCGACTGGTGGTCAGACTGGTGGTGGCTGCCTGCCTGACTGGAGGCTGCCTGGCTTACTGCCTCTTTGCCAGTCTCTGTGGCCAGTGATTGCCAGCTCCCCTTGTCAATGTGCTTTCATCCCCTCGCCGTTGTTGGCTCCCATCACATCGTGGTCGTGGGCGAATGAGGCGGCGAATCAATTTGCTGTATGCACTGTCTGTCTCTGTTCTCTTCTGTTCTGGCCGTCCTGGCTGTGTTCTGTACTGTGGCCAGTGGAGCCAGGCGCCAGCTTACTTTATGAGAGAGAGAGAGAGAGAGAGAGAGAGAGAGAGAGAGAGGGCCACTCGAGTGGCTCGTGGCCCGTTCTGTTCCAGCGTGCGCCTAGCATTTTGTGGGAGCGATCGATTCTCGTTCATTCCTCAACCGAGGGATTGAGGAGAGAGAGAGTAGAAAAAGAAAACGATGAAGATAGATAAAGGAAGAGTGAGAGTTGCAGTGGCGCCACGCATTTCCACACACACACATACACACCAACTGCACTCTCTCGAGTGGCAAACATCTGCCTCCGAGCCTTCCATAGCCATAGTTTGCAGAGCGTGTGTGTCCGTCCAGGAGAGAGACAGTCTGCGAAGGCACCAAAAGAGGCAAAGCAGTTGCAAGATGCGCCACCACCAAAACGAGGAGTTCAGCAGTGTTACGGTTGAAGCGGCATCACCATCATCATCATCATCAT